TTTTTTTTCTTTCTTTTTGTTTTTCAACATATTAACAGGCTTGGTAAGGATACGCTGTAGTAGATATAAATCCTTTTATGCCTAGAACATTTAATATACAGACTTGGAACATAAATATATATATTGAGGCTTGTTATGTCTAATGTAAAAGGCTCTGGGCGTACTCGATTTATTGATCCGGTTATTCCATTGTAGAAATATATAACTCCAAAGTGGCTGTAGAATGCGCCTATTCCAGATGACGGGCAACGAATGTGCAGACAGAATGAGGAAGGAGATAAGGGTGAGAGCTTGAGTATTCTGCTGCTGCTGCCACATGGCCGCATCATGCAGATTCGTCCAGTTGGGGAATATGTTTGGCCTTCAACTTCTCTACCACAAGCGTTCCTAATCTTCCCACAGTTCCTGCTTTCGAAATTTCTGGAATAGCCACATCGACGTGAAGTCAGCGCCGGGCCCAATTTCTGATCTCGATAGACATAAGTGAATCAGTTGTGATATTGTGAATCTCCTCATCAGTCATATCCTCGTGCTTGGATATATATGTGGAGATCAAACGTCCAACTTCTCCCCGTATCCTCTTCTCAAATTCGGGATCCTTTAGCGTAGCAGGATTGGCTTCCAATTCGTCCACCAGCTCCTGGAGGCTGTCGGGTTCAGCATTGCTGTCTGATTGTTCAAATGAGTCATAATTGACAATAGCACGCGCACGAGCATCTAATGTCCTCCAGACGGGAAGGTCCTGGACTTGACTGAATGCCTTTGTTGGACAAAGCCCAATACCCAGACCCACAGATTCGGGTCTTTTCTTATTGAATAACTCAGGGCGGGACCGCCGAATCACCAAGTGCAAGGAGTCCATTAGCTCAGACTCCTCGATAAAGCGTATTGATATTGCTCGCATTCTCTGGACAGCATGTGGCGTTTGTTTAAGAATTCCGATACCCTCCACACAGCCAATATCCAGCACTGACGCAGGCATGCCGTTAGTATGACGGTATTGAACAAAGTCATCTAAGAATGTGCTTGCTGTAGCATAGTTTCCTTGCCCTGGGTTGCCGACTTGACCAGACATTGAGCTGAAGACCACAAAAAAGTCCAATGCGGCTTTTTGCAATGCCGAATGTAGGTTCCATGTGCCTGAAACCTTTACCCTATTCGGTACCATCCACTGATCATGGGACATTTCAAGGTACAAATGGTCCTATTCAGTTTGTACACATAGATTAGCGGGTCATAATCCACATGGCGCAACCGATGGATGGATTACACTGAGGGCCAAGGATAGATTGATAACACTGGCGATGGGTCTAGCGCAACCCTCCACTGCCCTTAGGAGTATAAAACAGTTACTGATTGTTTCAGTACCGCCTAGATAAAATACATCACCACACCTGGCTCGTCGGGACCCATCCGATCTCTTCAATCAGCCATCTGATCCACAGTCGATGTGTGTGTTATCCAAAAGGGAATAGACAACAAGCTATGAGATGGACTGCCCATTCATCAGCCCTCCAGTAACGTTCCAGGCGAGTCAACAAAACATGGGGAAAGGCACACACACACACACACACACACACACACACACACACACACACACACAAAAGGCATCCGCATCACCTGTCTTTAGTAACATTAAACAATCATCGCTTGCATCGCATAGCCAAAGGAATGTAAACTTGGCCTGCTCCTTCAAAACGAGACTGGCTTGATTGACAACAGTGTAATTTCTTCTCAGCTGACGAGGGCCCGAAAGCATATGTATTGCCTATTTGGATCTCGTCCTGTCTATCCAGGAGACGGATGTTGTCTTCAAGCTCTTTGAAGTACACCTTTGTGGATAACGGTTCAATGTATGAAATAACAGCTTCGGTTTCTGGAACACTGCATATCGCTAGAAAAGGTGGCGAACCTCTACTACATCCTTTCTTATTCATCACGCTACGGATCCCTCTGAAAAGGGATATCCACTCAGGCATGATTCCAACAATTTCAACCAGAGACGCCCTTTTTTTTAGAACAGAAATGGTGGAAACTCCCGCATGAATAAACTCTTACTTATATAACATAAACAAGCAGCGCCACCATCGCTTAAACCCCTGATGGTCTAGTTGGATATGGCGTCCGGCTGTAATGGCATCTACCAATGTAACCGGAAGGTCGCCGGCTCGATTCCGGCTCGGGGGAGGCGAATTCCTTTTTTTTTTGCTTACCTTTTCGACTTACCTTGCTTAACCTTTCTTGAGATTTTGGGTTGGATATACGAAGATTCTCGCAGTAGATGTAGGCATGCGTTTTGGCTGATCGGACCACGTGCATTTGCCGAGCAGTTAAGGGAGGTCGCTATCTATACATGTAGTAGTTAGTAGGATCCTCACACAGTTATACTAGTACTGATCTCTTCAGTACAGTTGGAGAATTTGAGCAGACAATGACAAGAAGCATTTATGGATACTATATATGTATGGCCTGATGCAAGGTCTTTCATGGAACTACCTATCTATCTACTCGAAGAAGGAGGATTATGGCAGAATCATGTAATTCAGGTTCCCTTGGCTGATACATATGACTTTCTATAACGATTATCTATTGAACCTAGGTAATCTGATGAATTAAGGGAGCTTGGAAATCTTGCTGTTCGATCGATCTGGTGGAATATGGGTCTGGAGATATGCACACTTCAACATATTTTCTGCATGAGACATACAGTAGAATAGATTCGGGTCCTATGAATGGGCTGGTATATGGAAACTTGCGTGGCGATCTATCATTTGCTAGAGCAATGATCATCTACCGCTGATCTTCTTCTGTTCGGGTGATCGTTTCGTAGCGCTCTTAAAAACCTTAAATTCGGGGTTTCCACTCTCTGGTCAAATAAAGATTGCCTTCCTCGTCTTAGATCCGGACTTGGTGCTCCATCCTTCTAAAAATATCGAAGCCGTTATTTACAAAAGAAATGTCTGCCCCTTCTTTTAAGCTCCCCACACAGCCATTCTTCACTGAGCTTTTCCAGTGCTGGCAGGAAACTCCCAAGAAAATCTTAATTCGTGATTTGTCGGGGTCCTGCCCAGAAGCGACGCTGGAAAGGTTCCTGTATGATGTCGTGACCCTTCGGATTCGGCTCTGGGGTATTTTGGATGAGCATGCCAGGCAGGCTCTACGCGATCCCAATGCAGACGATGTATATATTGCGATTCTGGCGACTCCGGGATACGAGTATACAGTGCTTTGCTACAGCATCTACAGTCTTGGGGCGGTGATCGTACCTCTCTGTGCGTCAGGTCCTATCGGTCTCATCCTATAACCGGTCTTGCTAACCAGATACGAAAGCACCTGGGGTTCTTGTAGAAGAGGCCAAGTACTTCCTTGAGCTCTGCAATGCGACACTCCTCGCAGCAGGCATAGCGGATGTCCAACACGCCCAAGCTATATCCGACCAGGTCGGTGTCCAGTGCTTCACGTTTGACCCTATGCAATGCCTCCTGAAAGAGGATCCGACATTCGTCCTGGGGTCAGATGATCCATGTATGTCCATTAGTATGGAGAAAGGGTTCATCCTATTGTACACCTCGGGTACCACGGGCCCACCGAAGGGCGTCCTTCATTCGCGCCGAGGTGCCGTCGCGGGTTTCCGATCTCTGATGAGCCACATGGGCATGTCGCCCCAGGATACATGGCTCTTGCATTCTCCGGTACACTGGATGGGTGGGGTCTGGCAACTTTTCATCACCGTGTCAGCTGGAGCATGCGTGGAGTTTTGTACTAGTGTCTTCAACCCGAATTGGTTGATGGAGCGCTTGTCGGCAGGCGACGTGTCATGCATGGTTATGACCCCGATTCTGCTCGATACAATGGAGGAGAAGCTACATGCGGCTCGGAAAGCATGGCCGTCGTCAAGGCATGAGGCCGTAATGGCTGGTCTTCGCGGGCTTCGCATCTTAGCCACAGGCTCTATGCCTGTCGGCCCAATTCGACGGGCTGTTTGGAAGAATTTCCGTGGGGGGAAGCCAATTGTGGATCTTTACGGGATGACTGAAGAGCTCGCAATGGTCGCCAGGACTTCATGGGAGCCAGATGATGCCACGCCCCTGGTAGGGTTCCTTTAGTCCCGTGGTGAAGAATATGTATGCTGAAGATAGTGTGTCCATGTAGGAGTCCTGTGGGAAGCCATCAGAACTGGTGACGTTGAAGGTGAATGACGACGCGGAGCTTCTTATAAAAAGCCCAGCCCTTTTCACGAAGTAGGTACTATCCACAGGCGTATACCGGGAGAGAATATTGTAATTATAACTCTAACCCGTCGCAGGTACCTATCGCCTAATCCTGAAATAATGAAGGGAGTTTTTGACAGCAACGGCTTCTACAAAACGGGAGATCTCGCGCGGCTGGAAGGAGGCTATTTGTTTATCCACGGTCGCGCATCCCAGGATGGTCAGTCGTCCCGAAATTTTGGATTGGAATAATGCCATTACTGACGAAATCTGTAGTTATTCGCTTCAGTGGATGGAAGATATTTGCCCCGGAAGTCGAGGAGGCGCTCTCCAGCCATCCGTCCGTGTCCCAGGCGATCATTCTGGGTGTCTCTGATCCCCACACCGGACAAAGAGTTGCAGCATTGATCATTCCCAAGACGGACCACGCCACTAGCAACGGATTCGATTTGGCGACCCTCCGAAGATGGCTTTCTCGAGAACGGGGAGTCCTCGAATACAAACTGCCCACGGTTCTGCGTGTGCTTGACCCGACGCAGAAGTATCCAGTGACGTCGAGTGGGAAACCCATCAAGCCACGGATCCGAGAGGAACTGTTTAACGAGGCAGAGCTGATCCATGGCTGCCTCGAGGTGTGGGATCTAGCTGTGAAGGAGCCTGACATGGCTGGGCGGCCATTCAACTGGGCTGGAATCTAACTGTAAAAATGTAGATCATACAAGGGTTAGATTGTATTTACTTATTGGGAACCGCATCCTTTCGGTACCAGTTTACTCCCTCGTCCATGGTACCGGATACCCTGATCTAGTCAATTCCAGGTTTCTGCTCCACATTCTTGACTCGGCTCAGGAAAGCACCTGTGGTGCTGTCGTTGCCTATGTGAATAAGACGAGGCGAAACACACTTGGATTCACCCCCTGGGAGATGAAGAAGCTATGTCAAGTGCTTCCCGCGGCTCCGCAGGGTGACTACCACGGAACGAGCTTGGCAGACGTATTAAATGTCTATATCTCGCTATTTGGCAATGAGGGCGAAAGTTTATGAGAGGAATGAAATGAATACGGTGACTCGCGATGGTTCCCAGGGGGGTTGGGTTGTGGTTGTGTTGAAGAGCGAGTAGCAAGAGGAGGACCCGTCAAGCTTTACTCGTAGCAGAAGTGCGGGAATGGGAAAGAAAACAAATGGCGTCGCATCATCGTTAAGTCTTGTATCGTGAACCCAGAGAGGTTGGACCTCTTTCAGACAAGGAAATGAGGCGTTCGGTTCTCCTGGCCGAAATATAGTATCACTTATCTGTCACGTATGAGCCCCTTGGATTCTACGTGTCTAACACGGAACCTACGATATCGTTTAAAGCTATACATGCAAGGACGAGGTGTGTATTGCTTTGACTACATGGCATACCAGAAGGGATCCGACCTAGCACTCCATTTATCACGAATGAGCCAGTCTCATCAATACCTTGTCCATTGATGCGGGCTCGGGTGCTGTCGTTTGGGTCTGTCTTTCAACAGGGAGAAAGAAGTCAGATTCGCTGTTAGTGGTTCCGTCTGAATTGTCCAAGGTGCAGACACCGACCGGCCCACTGCCCATTGAGGGATTCAAATTGTTTAAAATTCCGTAGATATTGATTGGCGCCATGGTCGGACGAGAATTTCGCCCACACACTTTGCGATCCTCTTTGTGATAGAAAATGACACCTCGGGTGCGGTCAACTTAGGTCTAAAGAGAGCTGCAAGATGTATTCCGGAAGACGGGAATTGCGAGATGCTGTCACAGACCGAAAACCAGCCCCACAACCAGAAATACTCTCGAATCCCTGGAGCAATTGATACTTTAAGGCTTTAAAATCTAGCTAGATATGAATCACCTACTTGAAAGAGAAAAAAAAAAAAAACATAAAAAAATAAGAAGGAAAGGAAAAACATACAACAGGAGGGATTCGCTGGTGATCACCCACCCAACTACTAACCTCCCGGCGTGTGGCTTAAGTACGGCTGAGCGGACGGGAAGCCCTGTTCTCCACACCCTGTGGTCGTATGTGGTAGTCTTTTCTAGGTAGTAAAATATATACTGCACCTATCTTCAAGTTCGTATAGATCAGACTCGTCCTTCGGTTGGCGCGATGCCCATGGTCAATGGATCCTTGCAGTCTCTCGGGTCAGATTGACCCAGCGGCCTAAATCAAGCTAAACCGACAATACATGGGATTTCGATCAATTTTTGACAACTTTTATCTTGTATGAAGAATTTCGTATAGAGAAACAAACAGCTAGTTGAGTGTTCCGTATACCATGGTATCCAGCAATTCTCTATGGAACATGAGATCAACCCCCAAAGCAATAGCTGACAACGTGTAAATTCTTAATATTGAGATTGCTTATGAACGGGATTCCCAGTACTTATTCCGATTAGACAAGCCACCATGATTCGTAGAGAATCTAGTGGCACCTAAGACATAAATCTAATTGGTTAATATATAGTGCGTTGGTGTTAGTCAATGAGGTAATATTTTAGATCGCCGGACTCTCCATCGGTACTCCGGGTGGACAATTCAACCGTGCATAAGGGGAGTTTGGTATTAGACCCTGGTCCGGGTTGAAGGATCTCTTGGAATACGGGAGCGGGTCGGAAGCAGTCCTCCAACCACTTACAGTGCCATATGCCGTAGAGCTTTCGGTGCATGAAAGCTTAGCGTCTTACACTAAACAACATTTTTAATATGCACAGAGGCTGTGCCACATCCCAAAAAAGCAGACTAGATGCTCTTCCTTCCAACCTGCCCTGGGACTACTGCGTCTTCACCTGGAGAAAATTTTCGGCTCGCAAGTATTTCCCTATGTACCGCAAAAAGCCTACGCTAGCTTGGCCAACCCCTAAGTGCGGCGGACTGGATGGGAGGTCTTGTTCTCTAAACCTATGACCATATGTCTCATTCGATTGCAAAACCTACGGGTGATAGAGTGTATAGCTCTGTCCCATTTTATACATGTTGTCTAATTGAACGGACACATGGTCAGGAAATGTGCACCGGGTTTGATACAAGTTGTCCTGGTGTGTCATCAACAGGCCAACATCGTACCATGGTCAGCAACTGCCTGTAGCTTGTCGGGCCGGATCGAATCGGACATGCAAATCAATCGATGTAACGGAGTCCACATTAAATCGGCTCGGGGTACCATGGTGACATGGTCACGATAGTCACCGCTGACGCCCGGAAAGACTCCACAGGGAAGCCCGAGAACAGCCCTCCTTCATGTCTTAAAAAAAAAAATAATAATATATATATATATATATATATAGCTTTGCACGAGGCGTTCTCTAACTGGCTCAAATCGAGTGTCGCCTTGGTCGTGCCCTGATGTTTCAGTGGGAAGGATCCACTAAACAAGGCCGGTAATTCCTTCGCCGATCGCGATGGCATCACTTATGGACCATCACCTGTCTTTCCACCAACTTATGATTCCTTTCCTCTTTCGTGTTCAATCCACTCTTGGGAATGTTGTTCCTGATTGAACTACGGAGCAGGGCGAGGCATGTCAGCACGGAATTTGCCAGAAAACCCCCACCCGACCGCGCCGCATCTTTATTAAAGTTGGACAAATGGGTTCTTTTTCCTGTTATAGCAGCAACAATCCTTCTGCTCCTAGTTCTGTAAGCCTCGGGCGAGGCGATAAAGCGAAATTTTCAGAGAGAAACTGATGAGGGAAAAACTATATAAGTACGCCCATTCCCCAGCCCATGGTTTGATTTCTTGCTCATCTTATCATCAAAAGCTTGCCAGTGCAACTCTGTTCTAAGGTATGTCCTGAGTGAGCCATGCTTTGGGATTCTTTTTAAAAGAAGCCTTGCGCTTTGGAACATTAAAGACCGGCTAATGCTAGATAGCCGCGAGTCCTATATCTACGCTCTTTCACACAGGACAGTCGATTGCTGTCCGGCTTATGAGCGCATTTTTATCGATTCTCCTCGTTGTAAATTGGTTAAGTCTGGCATTGGCAACATGCGGATATCTTCCCTTGGATATATACTTGCATGTGTCAGCCTCGGCGCTGGCATTGCTCACTCTAGCGCTATACCGAATGAAGTGAAAGACGAAGTCCCAACCTACTCAATTCGCTCAGTTGACTCAGTCGACTCAACCGACTCAACCGATGCAGCACTGAGGAGGATCGACTTCAAAATAACCAGAGGAGGCCTTGAAGCGGCTCGGGATGTGATTCTAGTAGCATCAGGCGCAACCTCGGCTATTGCGGCCGTGGTGGGTTGGGTCCAGAGGGATAGTTCTGCGAACTCTTGTGCTCCTATTGGAGGAAGTGGGCAATCGGATAAGGGCGAGCAGAAGTATCACTTCAAGTACTGGGTGACCACGACTGGAAAGAACTGTGACACAACCGCTCAGACCAAAACTGTGGCTGCAGCGCTCGATGATGCTTGGGATCAGGTGCATAAATACAAGTACAACTGGGCGTGCATCGATCTCAGTCACGGAGGCACTTGGCATGGGCATCTTGCAGTTGCTACAGTTGGCTCAGGCAAAAATGTTGACACGATGTGTAACTAAAGAGGCGAGTGGTTCTGGTAGTATATCAGTCAGACGCTATTTATGTCGGATCCTGCTTCATATGCGACCTGGGCTATTGCTGCTTTAGTTAACCACGCGCATACTTGATGCCGTGCCACACTGTTCGAGCTTATCTCCAGCCGCGCCTTGCTCAACCTGTCCGCAATGTATGGTGTTCTTTTCTTCTTGCTAGATGGATACATGTTACATATCATGAAAACATACAACGTCTCTCAAGGCGAGAAATCGTCACTTGTATTGCTATGTTCATTTGTTTGATTATGGGTCTATCCGAATTCCTATACTCTGCTTTACCGGGGTGATCGTGGTTTGAGAGCAAACTGTTCGTCCAGATAAAATCGTAAGATAAAACAGAAAAATAAAAAATAAAAAAGCTCGACTCGCGTGATATCTATCAGGATTACTGTCTCCATAGAGGTGTGTAAAGATAGAATCATATAGATTAAATATGCATAGCCAAAGAAAACCAGAGAGGTCATAGGATATCTGTTACAGGAGAATGAACTAGTCTCAGAAGCTTAGCTATGCTACTGTCGTACATCCTAGGGATATTTTTAAGGCTTTCTTTTTTTAACCTTTTCTTTTCTTTTCTTTTCTTATTTCTTTCTTCTTCTCTTTTGGGTGGGGAGTGAGCTGTACATCCGAGTACGCTATTCTTGGAATACTTTATAGATTCATTACTACCAACCAATCCATGTAAATCCGGGACAAAAAATGAGGTTATTTGGAATAATCGTAGCTCTATCGCACGAATTATAGTTCAACAAATGATCTCTATAGCAAAAATTGAATGGACACACGTAAGTTGGCTGAATATCGGCCAGGATTATAGCCAATAAAAACAAACTATTTGTTCAGCGACCCACAAGTTCGCAGATCGACAACCCAATGTTGTCGATCGACAGACAAACATTCACATAACCCTAGAGAATAAATTGCCGATCTCTAGGGAACTATTCACTACTATTGAATTGAATCCACTTTGCTTTATCTCATAAGGCCCCTTGTAGTTGATTCCAGTTCACTAACATACAAAACCCAACAAACATAATAGCATGGTGTCTACTAATAATTATATCGATTTTATTATTACTTAGTTTACCATGATATTCTTTATCTGCTGTATTATATTCCTTTAGTCAAAATGAAATTCCAGCTCCTATTCTCATTTACGTCTCTCCTCACCCTCTGTGAACCAATCCCTAAGACGCGCTCTAGCGATATGGACTCCGCTAGATATGAGACGCGGCTGGCAAAAGCATTACAGGCTGTCAGTATACTAGTAGAGAAGCATCAGTGATCCCACTTTACTAAAATATTTCTAGAGAGATGAAGCACGAAGTGCGTATCACAATGACAGATCGGCCACGAACTTGAAAAAGTTGAGGAGTTATAATACTGATGTCCAGCGACTCCTTGCCACTGGGTAAGTTCTTATATTTACCCTGTGGTTGATGCTTTAGTTAATGATAACAGATTCAACGGCGGTTAATACGATGTTCCACACTTTGACTCTGTATTACCAGCGAAGCGTCTGCGTAGCTGGTTATCCAATAGTTAGGCCTGCACCAGGCAATTTTGTCGCTAGGCCACGCCACTATCTTCATTCCTCGCGGCCCTCAGGAGGGTAGAGCTTCGATGATGCTCGAAATTGAACCGAGACAGAAAAGCATCGATATCTTCCTGATTATACGAGTTTTGTGCGATCAGAAGAACCAGATCGCTCGGAAGTTCATTTTACTGGGGCATGCAAATTGAAGGCTCTAATGGTGTTTGTTTTGAAGACGAGTGTGGTCTCAAAGAGACCAAGTACTGGCATTACGTGGAGGGGAGAATGTCAATGGAGTGGTGGTCACCTGTCCCGATGTTACCCTACTAATTAGTAGTAATCGTGCTGGGTTTCCCGAAGAAATATGTTAACGGGCTTGTAATGATAGAAACAGGAATGCTACATATGCTATCACCTGAATTAATACTCAATCTAGATAATCTCCAATTCTCAACGTATGACGGCAAAAAACTGAACACAGGTGTTTTAGGCGACTATTAGCAGTCATGGAGTTCTAGATCTCAGTAAGATAAGAGTCACCTAGTCAATATGAACCATGCAGTGATTTTATTTTACAGCTACTTGGGTAGAACCTATGCCACGACCTCAGCTATAGATATCTTCTCCTCAAAGATTATGGATTATTCTTGTCGCACATCATACTCACCCGCTAAAGACTAATCCTCTCCCTATGACCCTTTCATTTTGTAATGATAAAGCTCGTCCCGCACTTGTGATTTGACAAGTGTCAAGTTGAGTAATCTTGATTTTCGAAAAGCCATAGGTTAGCATATGTATAACCACTCCATTGCTTGTTTCAAGAGTACCAAACCAATAAATAGTGGTCCATTTCAACCGTCAATCTAAGGCAGAAAAGCAAGGGAAAAGTAAAGGACAAAGTCAACTTCCATTAATTAAATAGGAATCTAAGCAGCTGCGAGTAATCTTGCAAATAAAAATTACTAGGTGTTCATAAGCATAGTTATCGATCTTGGTGTAGATCCTCGGACCGCCCCCGGAGCCATATACAAAGACCGGATATGTTGTTGTATTAACTTACAACTCATTTTACTCTGTGAATGTCTGCCAAGACATCAGCCTTATTTCTATGACATGTCTAAAGAATTATATAGGGCCAGGAATATTACGGGTTATAGTGTGGCGCAGTCTTGGCATGACTACATTTAGACTTCAAACCTCCCCCACGTCGACGAAACTCCTTCTGTTCGCTTACATTCCCCAGGCGATACAGACTAAAACTCCCTTACCAATATGGTCAACACTGGTTTTCCGAGCAAAGCCTGCCACACTTGTCGCCGTCGCCGGGTGAAGGTGGGTCCCCAACTGTTCATGACAATGTCGATCACTAACACTCCGCAAGTGTGACCTTGGACGCCCCGGCTGCTTGCGCTGTAAGAAGTTCGGCTATGAGTGTCCTGGTTATAGAGACCTAAGTAGGCTGGGTGTTAACTTCCGGATTCTAACCCCGGAGTCCTACCCGCGTCAGAAGAGACAGGATTGCGACCGGCAGGTGACGCAGAACTCTGAACAAGATCATGATCGATATTTCCAACACGTCGTAACGAGAGAGCCACGATTAGTAAATTTATATACGCCGACTGAACAATGGGAGGCACATGCTAAGCCTTTTCTTCTCAGCCAATTCACAATAGTAACCTTACAGGGGACTCGTGTGTACGACTCGCTCGACTTTCTGCCGCAGCTACTTGAACGCGCTGGTACCGAATCTACATTGTACAAGGTGTGCGATGCTATTGCCTCCGCCTACTTTGCCAACCGATCATATTCCGATAGTGTTGGATTCGGCCATCGAAAGCTCTATGTCAGGGCCCTACAATCTCTATCAAATGACGTCTCAAACGTTGAGAAGCAAAGCCAAGACACAACGCTGGCGGCAGTGTGGCTGCTGTGCTTGTATGAGGTAGGTTGGTTCGGTTGTTCACACCGTCATTATAGAACTAAGACGTCTTTCTATGTATAGCTCATAGTCGGAGCCCGAGGTCAAGAACCCCGGGGCTGGAGGACGCATGGCGAAGCGTTGATTGGATTATTGCGATTGCGAGGCCAGAACCAATTCCAGACCAGAACAGGTTGTCAACTTTTCCAGCTAGCGTACCAAACAGTTGTATGTTTCCTGGTAGACTGAATGAAGCCCCTTCCCGGTTAATTCTCACGTTCTATGTTATAGCAAATACAGGCGATACGAACAGGCCGGATGCCGCCACCAGAAGCAGTCACCTGGTTGCAGTCAATGCAGACATCTGCCATGGCGAAGAAGCTGCTCTTTCTGCCGGCATTCCTGTACAGTGACTTGGCTTCGCGAATTTACAGCACCATCTGTGATTTAATCGACCAAGGCTCACAAGAAAAGATGCTCGAGAGTATTAACGACATAATCATCGCTTGCAAAACTCTGGAATCGTCAATAGATGCAGTGCTCACTGAATGCCCGGCCTCACAATCACGGCTAGGTCCATCAGACGACCTGGCTACAGGACAAAGTCACGAATGGTTAATGAAGCAGCATGCGGCGAACTATCTCGGTGCATGTCTCTTTCAAGTCTATCAAGGAACGGTAAAGTTGCTTTCCGAGACATTAAAAGCTAATATATCGCCGAAGATTCACGCTGCGCTCCTTTGTCTACATGAGTCCAGCATTGAGCGATTAAAGCACCTGTCAGACCGTATTCTAGTGTCTCTCCCGTTACTTATGCCGGTAAAGATGGCCAGCGTTGACAAACAGGGTCCAAATATTCCAACATGGGGACACGCCTTAAAGCTGCTCTGGCCGCTGGGATTAATTTCATCTTCCGCCAATGTGCATGACAGCCAGCGTGCTGCTGCGAACCTGGGCCTACTTCGAATAGGCTACGAGGCTGGGATTATGCAGGCTGTAGGGGGATAAGATCAAGCGATGATGAAGGAACCTGGAGAAACAATATCGAGCCCAAAAACAACTTCTAAAATTTGTAATTACACAAAAGATTGCATCCAGCGGTAACAAATAACAATTCAGCTTTACCTGTATCAAGAAGCGATGATAATCACAAACAACGAAAGCCGCCATCTTCGCCGAGAAACAAGATTTCCGCAACAAAGTATCCACAGATTGTAGCTATCAAGAGGAACGCGAAGTCGGGTTCTCAAAAACCTCATCCAACCAGTCCAGAGTAGCCATCGCCAGCTGGGGCTCAGCCCCAATAGCACAGTGCTCTCCCGCACCAACATTACTCTTGAAAAGATGATAATAAGCCTTATCACCAAGCATACGCGCCATACTCTCCGGCTGACCAGGCGCAATATGGTCGTCTTGACCCGAAGCAACAAACACCGGACATGTGATGTTGTCCAGCATCGTCTGGTTGATAGCCATTTTACTCATTTTAGTCATCCATTCGAAAGGGCTGCTAGTCTTAAAAGACCATAATCCCTGATCAATGCCCCATTTCTGACTCGTGTCAGTGGTTTGCTTGTATGCTTCCCAGACGATCGCATCGAAGGCCGTCTTGTTCCCACTTTGATACAGTTTTTGTATCGAGGCTGGAAACTGCTGCAAGATTACCTCATGAAGATCAAGCATTCCATCAATTGCCAGGACAGCGGCAAGACGGTGCTCACGGGTGGCTGCCAACGGCGCCAACTGACCACCGAACGAGATTCCTCCCAGCGCGATCCGGTCTATGTCCACGTCGTCACGAGTTCGTAGCCAGTCAACGACGGGAGTGACCACACTCCACCAGTCGGGGATGAACCCAATGTTTGACTCACGACGTACTGTTGGCTGTCCGGGCCCCTCGTAGGTGACGAAGTTCCACCCGCGTGCGAGGATCTCTTTGCCGAGTTGATGGTAGGTATCTTGCTGAGCTCCATCATACCCAGATCCGACCAGGATCGTGGGAAGTCGTTTGCCTTTACCGCTTGTCGCATTGGCGTGTGAGGACTTCGGGGGTGAATAGAAATATAGAGGAATCTTGAACTCGCTCCCTTCAAGCTCCACCTGCACCGGCGGGTCAGGCAGCAGCTTCATGGCGGTGTCATAGTGGTCCAGCACGGAATCCCACAAAGTTTGAATGCGGGGATCGGAGGCATTGCCGTGCAGGAAGAAGTCCGCTGCGCGATAGTATGATGATGCACGGAGGTGCGCCTCACGAGCCGAGACGGGAAACCTCGTGGCATTGACCGACGTCGCCTGGTCGGCGATTTGGTCTGCCAGGTACTTAAACTCTCTATAGAAGCTTTCCATGTCGCCTGGCTTTATTTGGGAGGCTGCGCGAAGGATCTCACCCGTGGCAGCACCCCCGCCATTGGCGAAAGAGAGAAAGGTCTCCAGGACGAAGGCAAACTCAGAGTCACTACTCAGCTGATGGATCACGGATGTGGAATTGGAGATGGTAACATTGGGGATCAGTTGATTTGCTGTCTATTTTTCGTGTCAGTCACTGATATTCCAAGGAAGTATTCAAGGGTGCAATATACCGCTAGGGTGAACAGCGCCCCAATACAGAGTGATGATCGGAATCGCATTGCGATGAAATGGTTTTCAAAGAGGATGCAGGATTTCTAACTTGATTGTGAATGTTTTGATGTTGATATCAGTGGATTTGAAAATAAGGGGAATTCGAGGGCGGAATACCACAGTTTATATATTGCACAAGGTGAGTTAGAACTCCTTTGATTTGGGTGTTCAGTAATAGTTCGCAAGTATATGCGTGGCGCCACTGGGATGTGAGATACGAGGTCTGTTCGCCTGACTCACTTTGCCCATTTTGGCAACCAGTTCGGCTGATGAAGATTCAGATCCTAATTTGTCGATCTAATGACCTCAAAGCCGCCGCCACGGAGCAGACAAGCAACACCGATCGCTGCCACATCGGGTAATCCATTCGAGCCTAGCCTTCTTTAGGAAAGGTGGTGCGGGTTGTAAAAGCTTGGTAAATATTGCTTCGGGCCACTAAACTTCATTCCGTTAGCCATGCGATGGCGAAACTCTGATTGGTTTCTTGTTGACCCACCTTCGGTTGACGCTGACATTCACAGCCCTACTCCGTAGGCGGGGGCCATTTATAGAACCACGACAACAATATGTACAGTAGCGGAGTCCTAATCGTGGCGATGCATCAGACCCCACTCTACCCTGACTATATGATTGGATTCATGGTCTGTCATCAAGAGATTAGGAATTCCAAATGGAAGTGTACAAACGTACATACTCTCCAGTAGTTCGGTGATTCGTGGTCAATCTGCAAGCTCCACTAGACAAGGCTGAAGCAGATAATTGACTCATCCTCATCTCTAGGAAAAGCATATACGTTCATTGTGAATTTCCGTAGCGGTATGCGAAAGGATAGCAGCTGTGACTAGGTGAAAAGTTAAAGTTTATATGTCTCTGAGAGGTGACGCCTGATCCTCTGCCTCATCAAATCGCTTAAATCGCCCGATTTCCCTTATCCCTACGCCTGATCCTTTGCTCGAAGAGATGAGGTAAAATCACCTATATTACTGTATTTTTATTATTCTAGGGAAAATATCAACATATCAATATATCTTCTAACTAAAATCCTAGCTAGCAAGAGATATATAGAAGGCTTGGCTAGCTCCCTAGAATACTACTAATATAATCTACAGCCACGGGATAGAGCCCCTGAATCCTTCAGTTTTAAAAGCCTACATTGTACAAAATAGTCTATTCTTTATAGTACAACTATTACTGCTGCTATTCAATCCTATCCTAGATCTTTTGAATACCAACTTTATAACATATATTTTCTGAAAATCACTACTTTTGGATATTACCTCTTTCTGATATACACTGGACGTCTATCTATCTAGCAGTCTGCCTATCTAGAAGTCTACCTATCTAGATACCTTCCCAATACATATCTCCAATACAGAATTCCACATTTCGACACAATATTTATTGACATATCCAGTAGACTGCACCCTTTCTGCCTAGTAGTCTACTTTTAGATTATTAAATCAACCTTATAATTAATAGTATAAAATCTGAGAAAAGAGGAAAACAGTCTACTATAATTACCGCTATTTCAGACCCCTTATTGCATCCACAATATATATAAAGTATATTTATAACACAATTGTCGATAAGAGCTGCTTAGAACTATAGTAAAGAGCTGTTGACAACCCGAGAAGAGTCCCTGAATGAGAGCTGTATTCAGGTATAATGCATTTCTCTCTCTCTCTCTCTCTATCTGAGAGGTAGTTAAGGCGTATGGATAAATAATAAAAGGTTATAACTTATATTAATTGCAAAGTAGAGTAATTCTGATACACAGAACAATATAGAGTATTCTTTAATCAGTCATTTAGTATGAAAGTACTTTTCATCTAGAAAAGAATTCTTGGATTTTTATTGTAACAGATAGGGCTTTGACTGAGTTAGAAAAATAACTAGTCCTAAATCAGTTGCGATTCTCCGGAACCTGGAACTCTGTATCTCGGGAATTGGGGTTATACTGCTTAAAATGCCTCGCCCCACCCTGGAGAAGTCACACTAAATTCTGACATCGCTAACTAGTAACACCCCGTTCAGTTGCCCGATGAATTATTGGTTCTCATTCAATGTTTGGTACCATGACGTCTATAGGGCTACTCAACATCCAGCCTGATTAGTTCACAACTGTCATTATTTCCCATTTGATCCATTAAGGCCAGAAGGGTTAAGCTATGACTCATGTCAATGCTATACATTGTAGATATTTGGCATGTTATTATTGCGTTCTGCGGGTTTATCAGTGGTAGCCATACAAACTACACGCTCAGATGCTCAGCATGGCTTCTCCTATCTCTCATTCATTCTTGTCAGGTGAAACATGTCTATGGTCTCAGTGCCCGAGGAGAGCCTCATACTCTTCTTTAATTTGCTAGGCGGTTGATCATCAAAAGCAGCCATTGATCGCTTTATTTTGCGCCCCAAAGCCGCAGAACATCCCTGTTGTCAGACTGACATTCATCGCTGACGCAGACCGCTGATGCTGGCGAAAATGCACCGCCCACCTCCATGTAAGCGTGCCGGATAGACGAGCAGCATGCAAGCCTTCAAACACTCTTATGTCGTTAATTAGTCTGCTTGATAACTGCTGTTCGCATAGTTTCGTGAGATACGCCAGGTCCACCTACCTGATCTAAAGCTTGGCCTTTGACGTCGATTTTGAATATTATCACTGCAGGCAACACAAATTCGATCGGAAAAGTCACATTTGGTATGTCTCTGTTCCGAACACAAGCGTGAGGAACAATGGACCATATCTAACTGAGCGCGTTTAATTACCAGCTCAAGCCGTGGAATTGGGCCTATTATTGCCAACGGGCTAGCCCGGCATGGTTCCAATGTGGTAGTGAACTACTCGTTGCTGGCGCCGCTGAAAAGGTGACCGAGAAGATACGCAGCTACGGCGTGAAAACTATCACCGTGGAAGCCGACATGTCAAGCGAAGAAAAGATCGAACACCTTTGCCAGTATGCAATAACAGAGTTCGGCCAGCTGGATATTGTCATGAGAAATTGTGGCATTGAGCATTTGGCCGCTCTCCCTGACGTGTCCTCCAGCAGAATCGATGAGGTCTTTGCTGTGAATGTCAAAGCTCAGTATTTCGCTAATTACGGTCGTCTTATTTTTTGGCCTGCTCTAACTCAGCTGCTGCCGGAAAATCCTTACAATGCAAATTCCAGATTAGACTCATCGCATTGGCCTATTTAGGGCTTCCCACCGCACGTTATCTATGCTGCTTCCACGGCGACAACTCAGGGGAGAACAGAGTCCCTGGGACATGACTTCTGTCCTTGGAATGTCACAGTGAATTGCATTGCCGGGGCTGTAAAGACAGACGTGTATGTGGAGTCCGCTGCCAAGTACCTACCAGATGGTACCAGGAGGAGTGTAGAAGAGATCAGTTTCTTGTCTTCCAAGTGGCTTCCACTGAACCAGCCTGGCTTCCCTGATGTTATTGCTAGAGTCATTGCGTTACCCACTCGTACTAAGTATCAGTGGCTGATTGGTTAAACGTTTTCATCTGTGGAGGAGCTCATATGGCCCGAAGGAATCGGTTCTAGCTGTTGAGCATCGTATCAGTATCACTCGGTTCTCAAAAAATATTTGGCCCAGTGTTAAGGCGTGATACGCCAGTTTTTAGAATCCAAGAGCTTTAAGTAACTCAAATAGAAGGTTTAGCCAATCATTTATGATAAGACACCATACTCGTACCTAGTCCGATTTTAGTGAAAGAAAAGAGAGCACCAAAGAGGTGGGGAAACGGTCGGACCTTCATCCCGTCTTATTGACGGCGGCATATCCGATGATTGTTAAGCAATTATCCTAAGGGCGCTCGGTATATAACCTATTCTGAATTTGCTGCAGATTTTCCCCTATCAAGTACATTGCATTTATAACGGTCATTAGCACCAGTAAAGAGGCCAGTATAGGAGGTGTAAGCGTGGTTTCACTTAAGCTCGTCTAGATGGAGCTGTTCGACTGATCGGACTTCCTCGGGTGCCAAGAGGCTGTAGTAGTTCAAGGAGAATGTTCTAATCCATCCCGCCTAACAGTCAGCTAGGATCAGAGGTCCATCTCGGATGAGGAGACTATGTAAGTCACAAGTGTGGCATGTCGGTTTGTGGAGCCTTAAGGATTTGCCTCCCTACATAGGTTACTACACCCGAGACGTTGTGTCCTGCTTTTTGGCCGGCCAAAATCCACCACGGCAATACTTTAATGGAACTGTGGAATAGCTCGCAGGTCTAATTTAAACTCTCGGTAATAGTATATCATCTCGTTGGTTGGACCTTTTAATCCGACGGGACTGATTGTCCACTCCTCGTCAAGCACACTGACTCGGTTCGCTAAGATGCGGCAGTTGATCCGATATCCTACCAGGCATGGTAGTGGAACCAAAATATATCTATCCCCGTCTTCCTACCCAATTCTCCACCGATACTTGGCTTTCCTGGCCTTGGTTTGGTACCTCGTTTCCAATATTCTCTAACATTGCCTTTAACTACTCGACGCTTCATTTCATCAATAACATGGCGTTGTCAGAACAATGCATCTTCCACGGCACCTCTTATGTTACAGGCACCGCCTCAGCCACACTATTGGCAGCAGATCTTGAACTGAGTTTCTGGGGCGGCGTGAATCCAAAAACGGGCGAGGTTATTGATCGGTTCCACCCGCTGAGCGGTCGTATTCTGAAAGATACCATCTTGGCCATACCTGGCGGCAGGGGTTCCTGTGGCGGGAGCGTTGTTATGATGGAGCTGATTCTAAATGGCCTGGGGCCCAAGGCACTGATTTTCGAGCGTCGGGAGGAGATCATTACACTAGGAGTTATTGTTGCTGAAGAGTTGTTCAACAAGTCGCCGTGGTAACACTCAACCCAGAGGACTTCCGTCGGGTTCTGGGCTGGGATGGCAGGACGATTCATGTACAAGATGATCTAGTCTCGGATGGTCCCTTGAGTGTCAATATTACCCATAACGCTGTCAAACCGGCGGTTGACTTGAACAAGTGCAATGTTCAACTTACCGATTCCGACCGAGCGATGCTGGACGGCGCCCACAGCGAGGCCGCTAAGATCTCTCTCAAAATAATTATTCGAATGGCAGATATGATGGGAGCCCGAGAGCTAATGGATGTCCGCCAGGCCCATACAGATGGTGCCTGGTATGGCCCCGGCTCGGTGGCCTTTGGAAAACGACTTCGTGACTGGGGCGGCAAATTCAAAGTCCCTACCACTATTAATTCACTGAATATTGACCAAAAGCGCTGGCGGGCGCTCGGAGTGAACGCAGAATTTGGATCGTCCTGTGATGAGTTGGCCAAGGCCTTTGTCGACATGGGTGGCAAGATTTCATTTACCTGTGCCCCTTATCTCTTAGACAAAGCACCTAAACTAGGTGATCCAGTTGCCTGGGGAGAGTCCAATGCTGTTATCTATGCAAACAGTGTGCTTGGTGCGAGAACACTTAAAAACCCTAATATGCTTGAGGCTCTGATTGCCTTGACTGGCCGCGCACCGAAAGCTGGAGCCTATTTGGACGAGAATCGCTTTGCGTCTATCTGGCTCAAAGTAACACCACCAGAAACAACGGACGATTCATTCTGGCCTATTTTAGGCTACGCTCTTGGCGCCATTGCATCGGCTCGCATCCCGGTCATTACGGGACTGGAACATTTGAAGCCCAACAGTGACAACTTCAAGGCCTTTTCAGCGGCATTTGCAACATCCTCTAGCGCTCCCATGTTTCACATGGTTAACTTGACTCCAGAGGCTCCTACGCTCGAGGCTGTGTGCTGTAACGGTATAGCCCCCAAAACTATCGACGTCGATTGGAAAGATCTAGACGCGATCTGGGATGAGTTCAATCATGGCTCTGAGCCGCGAGACATTGACCTTATCGCATTTGGCAACCCACACTTCTCCTTACGGGAGATCAAAGAGGTAGCGAAGCTCTGCCATGGAAGAAGCAAGAAAGAGGATGTTGCCGTGATAGTCACCTGTGGCCGTGCCCAGTATAGTCTTGCCGTACAGGCCGGCTATGTTGGAGAGCTTGAGAGGTTTGGGATCCAGTTCTTACAAGACACTTGCTGGTGCTCTATCGAGGAACCGGTTATTCCCAAGAACACCCGGACAATCATGACTAATTCTGGCAAGTACATTCACTATGGGCCTGGACTAACGGGCAAGCAGTTTGCCTTTGGCAATCTGAAGATGTGCATTAATGCCGCGTGTACTGGGAAGACTAGTGGCGACCCGCCTTCGTGGTTGGTGGAATCTAGGTCAAAATAGTGGTTATTCATTTGTCATTCGAAGTTACAGATTTGACTGCCAAGTGGCTAGTTAGGTATAGCCCGAATCTTGATACATAGGGGCTTATCAAGCATATAATCGCAAGAATAATTCAAGTCTAGGAATCGGGCCGTCGGTGGAAATTGAGAATAATATCGTAGCTGAAAAGTGGACTATCATCCCTTCAAGTCGATACAAGCCATACACTTATCCGGCACAATAAAAGGATAGATATTTAGAGTATTCTATTGGTCAGGGAGCTGGAAATCAAGACGTCCATAACTCTTCCAGCAAAGCAAGTAGGGTTCTGGAAATGGAGCTTTACCTGTGAAACCAGAGACTTCTTGGACACTGTATAGCAGGGATACTGTTTAGAACGAACATCCGTAAATAGTTCACCAATAACTGTGACCAGAGCTTCTTTCACAAACTCATAGTGTGCGTGCATCCATTGCTGGGGATAGATTCCAAGCCCATATAAATCTAGGGTGGTTATCGGGAGTGGGTCATGCCCCAGACGGGTTCCAGGTGGGTCTGAAAAAAAATAAAATATTTAATCCTCAATCAAGAGTTTAAATAGACTTTTATATGCACGTAGTAAAGGTAGATTAGATCGAGTTAAGTCTAATTATATCTGTTTTGCATTCATAAATGAAGCGCAAAAGAGCCAGCCGGGCTTACTAATCGAACAACTTGACCTCGGCACCTGGAGAGCTGTGCTGGGTTGTCTTGTATATTCTGCTTTGACGTGGTCCATAGCGTATACGGGGAAAACAAGGTCGGGCAGGTGGTCAGCAATGGTCTGCTTGATCCACCAAGACCTATACAACATATGCCTTTGGCCATCAATTGACTGGGTTTGGTAGAGCGAATAGCAGCAGAAGTACGATGATCACGATAACAAAGGCGGGGCTGAAAATCCCCTAGCCTCGCGGTGAGAATTTATCCGTAGTCAGCCTTACCACCTACGGCCCGTGGCTTTGGCTCCGAGAGGGAACCCTCGCAATAACACTGCACCTACGACACAATGGGTTCCCAACGTAAGAGGCTAACCCACCGGGATTACAGGATAGGCTGGATATGTGCATTGCCGAAAGAGCTCACCGTCGCGATAGCCATGTTAGACAAGGAGCACGAAAGGCTGTCGCCAGCATCCGACCGGGATGATAACACATATGTCTTCGGCGAAATAGGCAACCATAACGTTGTGATTGCCTGCATGCCTATGGGAATGACAGGGAACGCACCTGCTGCCCTTGTAGCGAAGGACCTCTTACATAGCTTCCGTCACCTCCAGTTTTATCTGATGGTGGGCATCGGTGGCGGTGCACCGCAGGAACATAACGACATCCGACTGGGAGACGTCGTCGTGAGTGCTCCAACGGGACAGCATGGAGGTGTTGTCCAGTATGATTATGGGAAATCTGTGGCGGATGGTGTATTTCATCGAACTGGAACACTCAATCGGCCACCCAGCGCCCTCCTCTCGACGCTCAGTTATTTGAGGTCCAGCTACGAACTGCTAGGGCGGCCAAACTTCCTAAGGCATCTTTCAGCAGCCAGAGCTCGCTATCCCCATCGTGCTGCTACCTTTTCCTATCCTAGTGAATTATCCGATACCTTGTTCAAAGCCGATTACGATCATGTGAGGCCTCTTCAACCTTGTAAAGCAGGATGCGATCATAGACGGATTGTGCGACGAGCTCCTCGACCAAACAACGATCCCAGCGTATTTTTTGGAAATATTGCATCGGCGAACCAAGTGATGCGCCACGGGCTGACTCGGGATAGAATCGCCCGGGAGCACAATGTACTTTGTTTCGAGATGGAGGCCGCTGGTTTGATGGATCAGTTTTCCTGTCTCGTCATTCGTGGAATTTCAGATTACGCCGATACACACAAGAACGATGAATGGCAGGATTATGCCAGTGCAGTCTCTGCTGCATTTGCGAAAGATCTTCTTCTGGTTACCCCTGCAAGAGCTCTGAGTGGTGAGCTATCTCTTCAATTGGACACAGACAGCCTACATTCCGACACGCCTCCTGCAGATGTGCATGATGATGAGGACTTTGCTGAAGAGGATCTTAGTGAAGAGGACGTTGATGAAGAGGACGTCGATAAAGAGGATCTTAATGAAGAGGGCGCCGATGAAGAGGATCTTAGTGAAGAGGACGTTGATGAAGAGGATCTTAATGAAGAAGATCTTAGTGAAGAGGACGTTGATGAAGAGGATCTTAATGAAGAGGATCTTAATGAAGAGGACGTTGATGAAGAGGATCTTAATGAAGAGGACGTCGATGAAGAGGAGCTTGAAAGACAAAGCAACAAAGCCAGAAGCAATTTCAGCCCTAAGCTTCTCCCCTTTTCATCGACAGCGAATACCACTCAAACTACAGCCAGTAGTCCCTCCCAATCACAGGACTCTCCTCATTCGTTTGTTGTTAGAATGAAACTAGACAAGCCTCCCGCTGGGAGATGGCTTGGCTTTGGTAAGCATTAATCCTCTGTAGCGATGATCTCGTTAGCCTTTGGATATATGGATAACATTGGTACAGATCGCAATGAGGCATTTCTGCGGATGCTGACCGCTGAAATTCCAGTTGAGCTTGACCCAGATGTAAGGTTCCAGCTATCAAGAATAATGGAGCAACCGCCTGTTCATAAAGCTGGGGTAGTCTACATATGTGATGTTCAATATGAGCTACGGAGAAACTCGGACACCAGGCTCATTATGATTGGGGTTACATCTGACATCAACAAGCGCTTGAAGGCTCATTTCCACAGATGTGCTTACACTAGGCTTCGACTAATCACTTCCTATCCGCGGTCAAAGCTGGAATCGGATACACACAAACAAATCCGAAATCGTTATCAAGTAGAGAGTCTAGTTCATAGAACGCTGGGGGGATTCAGGTATGACAAGCAGTGTGGGTGTGGCAAGAATCATAAGGGGCTATTTGAAATTAGTGAGCATGAAATAGTATATATTCTAGATATCGTCGAACATTGGGTTTCCTGGAGTGAACGGAAACTTGGCCATGCCTTGATTCCTCATGGCGCATGATAGTCTCTATACATCTATGTACCAATGCTACCTTCCATCAGATAGGAGGACTCATTCATGTACTTAGGATATGTTCTATTAAGTTTATTTATATCCAATACAATAATCATTGGGAACCGTTGTTCCTAATGGTAATATAATCCTTCGGCCGTGCATGAATGGATAGGTATATTGGCTCAAAGAGCTGCGATTCATCTCAGGACCGTTGAATGAATCAGACCTGATCGCCTGTGCTTTTGCGGCTACAAAGCCTCCGTATATCCCTAAGCCTAACCATTTCTCTCCAAACCCCAATAGGCTGCTCCGTCTCAACTCCCTCATATGCCGCGATGGGATCTGCCTCCCACTTCATAATTAACCTCATGCGGCCGTAACCACCTTGTTCCCTTGTAGATCTTCCAGCCAAGGAATGCGATAGGTGCCAACAATAGCATAATAAAGCCTAGGAAACAGTTCGCAGTACTCTATAGTATAAAGCTGTGGCAGCAAAAGCAAAGCACCATTACTACTATCTAAACAAGTGTGATGTACGCACAATAAGGCTGGAACAGTCCCGTATAGGGGAGTTTGAATCGGTCGAAATCTTGTGCCTTGCAGACATTCTAGAAGTAGATGTAGGTAGTTGTGATAATAATATAGTCGATTAGGATATTGGCAGTTATTAGGCTAATCGGCTACTCTAAGACTTGCATTACGCTACCGGAAAGTTGTATTAATGAGAGACATGCAAATGCTATGACCACAATAAAGTTATAGATTGGAACACCTTTGATCAGTCTTGGAGAAGATGTGTGTTAACCGCCGCACCATATAGTACACGGGTCGCGGTATAGTTGTAAGTATTGTTAGCAGGGAAGACTGTTGTTACTATCAGGGCACTGATAATATAAGGGATAACGTCAATACCAAGGTTCTGTATGGCAATAATATAGGGTGACACGGCAGCAGACAACTCCCCGCTTTCTAAAGCTGCAACGAGGGTAGAATCATTGTAGGCGATAAGGGTGCCCACACACAATGCACCTCTGACAAAGAAGATATTAAACTGCCAGTAGACGTTCTTGAAGGCGCTTTTAATATATATACAGGGGTACTTGACTGCAGCTGCAACTGTAGAGATATATTCCGGCCAGGCGCAGGTAAAGACTGCAATCTATAAAGTGCTAAGGAATCCTTTGAAGCAACCAAGGTCTCATTGAGAGACATACCCCGCGAATGTACCGGGGTTTTGCCAGTGGCGGAATCCATATGTGTCGCCTTGCGGATTACCGCCGACTATGGTGACGAATATAAAGGAGAACAGAATGAAGAGTAAGATGACTCTGCTATCAGAGAGCCAAAATTCGGCTTCTCCGTAGGGCACCAATGGCAAAGCAAGTTGATGACTCTAGAACGTCACTATGGTTAGCCTGTCCTTCAGATTGTGCGGTGGAAAGGAGTGTGGTTATGTTTTGAGAGATGCCTCACGTGAAAGCTGCAATACAAGCCAAGCACACTGCCACAACAGGAATGTCATGTCGCCAGTACTCCAGAAGAATGTTGACCGCCGAAATCTCGAAGCGCACCGTGTGAGCCATATAGATGAAGAAATTCCATCCAGCCATGAATCCCCAGGCTTCATCAAACCAGTAGCCTGCGAGTCGGATAAAACCACCGCTTACGGATATGTAGGTGGTCATCTCAGCCAGACAACTATTGAGCATGCCGACCATGAGAGACTGGATGATAAAGGCGAGAAGCAAGCTTCCTGGCCCGCCCTTGTATAGACCTGTTCCAATGGCAATGAACAGGCCGGTACCGATAGAGCCTCCAATCGCGACAAGCTGGATTTGCCGACTCCCAAGTCGACGGTGCAGGCCGCCTACATTGTTAGCGGGGGAGACGGCACCTTCATGGTAATTATCTTTGGTGTAGTTGGGTCCGGCCAGCTGAAAATCTTTGATTTCGTACTTGTGATCGGTGACAGTCGATATGTCGGGATTATCTGCCACAGTAGAGGCCACCATGGAGCTTAACGTACATAGGTTCATTTGTCAAGAGCATCACATTCAGTCCTCGTTGTTGCATTTAATCGCCGCTTTCTCATTCTATAGCGACAAAGCCCATTCGTGTATATACCCATGACGAAAAGGCTGGTCCTCAACCTTCTCAAAATAGTGTACACATGAGACTCAGTGTAGAGGCGCACGAGGGAATATATCCACAGCTATAGCTACTGGCACCTTACACCGTGCCACAGCCTGCCACAGTAGGACTTAGTCCGATATAGCTAACCAACAGAAATGATAAGATTCCACCCATACTCTGAGAATAAGTTTTCTTCGACTGAGGTAGTCCAATGTTTCCTACACAAGTAAATCAGTATGTATTATTCATTACTCTTGAATTGATTTCAATATTCAATATATAAATCCATGAATAATGAAATTAACAAGTCCGAATATCGGATAACTATTTAGCCAATACTCCCAGCGGGAGCTATGTACAATGGAAACCGTCCATCCAGTTCAAATAAATACTAGTGAGGAGTCTCTAACGCCAACAGAACATTACAGGCCAATATCAAAATAGCAATTTTACCATAGTCGCAACACAGCCACGACACATATCAATCATCGCCGATCGTTGCCCGTGCGGCAATTTCTCCAGTGTCCTCTGCTTTGACATCCCCATCATTGAGTTCGTTGCGGAGGTGGCCATGCACCATCTTGGAAAGTGGATGTTTGCCTTGTGTAAGTACGTCTTTGTTCGCGTCCCTACTGACATTGCTAGCGTTGGGAACCGGGGAAAAGGGATGTGAAATGCTGGCACGAATTGGATGGGATGTTCCTGTTTGAATTGCGCCCTCGTCAGCCATCCTATGAGCTGCAGAGAGCGCAAAATCTCCCGAGTCAAAGTATTTCTACCAAATATCTAGTCAGCAATGACGCTTTTGTACGTATGAGTTAAGAGGTATATTACTCTAATCTGATGTTCAAGTAAGCTTTTTCTACGCGGCGGTGCCCCGTAGCGGTGCAAGACTTGTGTGACGTCTTTAGAAAAAGGCTAATAGGCTCGGTCAGAAACCAAGTGCTAGTAAATAGACAGACTTGGCTGCATCATACCTCAAGGTTGCGCTCTTGGTGCTCTTCTGGGTCCATTTTGAGGTGTATGTCGTTGGGAAGATAGAGGGCGAACAGTGGCGACTTTTTTACCTTCCGCCTCGATGGCATACCTACAATGCAGAAACCCCCTAGGCCTTAAGAGTTATATTTGCATCATTAAAGGTTAAATTCGACGGCAGATATTTCCTACGGATGCTATTGGGTTTCATGCTTTCTGGAGTTGCAGCCAGGCCGGCCTACAATCCGTACAATTATTAAGGTAGCCCGACCCCGGGTTGCTTAGTAAACAGGATATACTTGACTAACTAACTTTGTTGCCGTGCTTGTCTTTGAATATGATTGGATCCAGCTATTCACAGCTGTCCCATAGAAAAAGACCCAACTAGCAGGTATAACCTCGTGTTGGGAGTAAACTAGATATCTGGATCACATATCTTCGAGAATTGTATCAGTAAGCCCAATGATTTGGTCATCGTGAGATATCCGCGATGAAGTTACTGCAGTACGGTATTCCAAAAAAGTATACCCTATATTTCTACCTGGGGTATCTAGCTAACAGACGGAAGTTGCTCTTCTATACATTAGTGCTGTATTGTAAAGTTATATACGTTCTACTATCCCAATGGATATATTTCTAGACAGATTGATTCTGCGAGCTTCTCCAGTTGCTCAACAAGCAAACGATTCTGGGCAATGCTCTCAGGCTGGAAGCGAGGAACCATACGGTGATGGCCAATAAGCATATCGAGAAACATACATTACTCCCTATAGAGCTCAAGCACTGTCCTGAGAGCGAGAGCCCAATAATATCTGCATATCGAGAGCAAGCCTCAACTGTCATCCATGCTGCGGGATAGATAGAGTGGCTATATTTGTAGAGAGCGACCAGGATCATAGCCTGAAGAAAGTGTAGTAACACCATATTATCCGCCTCCAGAGCAAGGAAAAACTCTCTGACAGTCCTATACAAGTTTCCTGTTAGGTCAAGAGATGTAGTAACCAGCTTCATTGCAAGAAGCAATATCGCCAGATCCGGCCCACCCTCCCGAAACAGGATACCAAGGTCTATCCGCTTCTTGGAGATAATAGGCATCCAACAATGGATGGTATTGAAATAAGTTTGATAAATTTCCAGGATCCCATTCCCTTGGTTAAGGATCGTAAGAATATCCTGGCCCATCAAGTTGGCCCCTCTGCACGTATCCTTTTGATATTCATGAAAGAGACACATACCTTGGGAATCGCAGTTGTTGACCTCAGTAACTTCATTCTGGCCCACTCATAGCAGTCAGCATCCAGAAACAACGCGGACGGGAATCGGGGAGTGGGCGTGTCATCCGTCCATGTTGTTGGGCTGCTGGAAATCTGCGCGAGACTCGGAATCGAACCAGAACTCCTGAAAGTACTACTGAGACGATTTTCAAGTTCCGCCATTCTGGCTTATAGGGCTGCAAACTCCTCCGCAGAGGGAGATGGCTTAGGACTCTCACCATACTCGCAAGCACGCTCAGTCCGGGCACAGAGACCACAGACTGGTAAGACTTTGTCGCATTTACGTTTGTGTTTCTTGCAAGCGCCACAGGCCTGGCGCGCCTTAGTAGGAAGCCTTTCCATCTTCCACGACAGAGACGGGGAAGAATTCCCATTTGTCTCCTAATTTCTTGACATCAGTGATGCAGACACCTCGGCCGCACCATGTGGGTCGCTGATATAATTTATGCACTAGGTACTAGAGCGCATAGATTAATCAGCTCTTCATAAGACTGTATGCCGCCAAGGCCTACTGCGATAAACCTTCTTGTAATGGTTGAAGGTGAAAATGTGTAGGCAAATAATTCCTACTGCTGTTGTTTTAGGGAAGCATAGGTTTGCCGCAAAGCAGTGTGAGCACAAAATTAGACAAGTGAGAATAATACTTTGGTGTATACCACTATAGCGCACTGTTCTTTCTGCATTGTCTTGACCTGGAACCATTGCTTATACCCTATTGAAGACATATATTTTGCAATAAATCACAGACGCACAGGCAGTGTCCAATTGAAACAGAGGACCAGCGCAAGGTCGGACTAGGCAGATGAGCTGTCTTGGAAGGAATCATACACTCCGACGCGGAAATGTCACTGGGACCTACATGAAAGGCTATGCTAGCGCTGAACGTCCTATGTAGGATTACGTGTCTAATAGGACATTCCAGGAATGTTGCAGACTCAGGCGTTAGCTGCGACTGGCTCCGGGTACGATAATACTAGCTCCGAAAACCTCAGCAATATATATTCTTCTGCTATATGGATCATAATTTCATTGACATTAATATAAAAGGCTTTCAAATAAGGACTTCTACATAAATCTATTTATGACTCCTAATACAGGAAGAGGGAGCTCCGACTGACTCAAGAATTATGATTAATCTTAATTTAGGCAGAATTCCTGAGGCGGTTTAGACTAGTCCAGAGTTAAGTCTACACAACTTACTAGCCCTGACGATCCTCTCCAAGAGTCTGCCTCGCCCCACCTTGAGGCAGTGGCGCTAATATCTGACTCAGTTTCAGCTGGAGCCTTCGGGTTTATCGTCTTTTGGAGATATGGGATTAACGGGGATAAGTCATCTATGGCGGACATAATTCCCATACCTATATATATATATGTGGAATGTGCCTACTGAAAATGAAAAGCCTAACAGCAGACTTCAACGCATACCTTTCGGAATATTCCATACCAAAACATGGCCACACTCGCAGGAAAGAAAATTAGCCAGAATGGCTTGGGTTTGATGCGTGCGTACACTATCTAAATCTTCCCTCTTGTTAATGTCGACGCCTGCTGACTGTCGCAGGCCTTATCTGGCATTACGGGCCCACCCCTGACGAAAAGGCCTTCAAAGTGCTCAAAACCGCCCTAACAGCCGGGGCGAATGTCTGGAACGGCGCAGATTTCTACGGTCTGCCGAACAACAACTCCCTGCATCTAATGAATCGCTACTTCACCGCCTATCCTGAGGATGCCGAGAAAGTTGTCTTCACGGTTAAATGAGGTCTGGTGGATGCGAAGACTTTCTCGATGGATTGTTCTCGTAATGGCCTGCGCGCCTTTGCAGACAACGCCCTGAAGATCCTAGACGGCAAGAAGAAAATCGATATCTTTGGTCTGGGAAGAGTGGATCCCAACGTGCCAATTGAGGAGAGTGTGAGGGCACTGGCGGAGCTCAGGGAAGAGGGCAAGATTGGAGGTATCCAGCTGAGCGAAGTGCGAGCTGACACCATCCGTCGTGCTGCTCGTGTAACGAAGATCGATATGGTCGAGGCCGAAGTCAGTCTCTGGTCGAGAGAAGTGTTTGAGAATGGGATTGCCGAAGCCTGCGCGGAGAACGACATTGTTCTAGTGGCACATACTCCATTGGGCGCTGGAATGTTAACGGGGGCAATCAAAACCGTGGACGATCTTCCTCAGACTCATCACCGTATGGTTCCTCGCTTCCAGCCTGAGAGCATTGCCCAGAATCGTTTGCTTGTTGAGCAACTGGAGAAGCTCGCAGAATCAAAGGGTTGTACTACGGCTCAGCTGGCACTGACATGGGTGAAGGTTCAGAGCAAAAAGCCAGGGATGCCATTCATTGTACCGATCGCAGGTGCCCGGTCTGAGGAACGAGTCCTCGAGAACATGGCGGATGTTGAGTTGGATGATAATGATCTTGACATGATCCAGTCCATCTTGGACAAATATCCCGTGGCAGGGGCAAGATATCCGCCAGCGGCTGCAAGATTGAATGAGTATTAAACACAATCCCCTCAGTTCCCACATATCCCCTCTCCTCCTGTATATTAGCTGTTTTTAGATTGTTTGTATATAGAACCTCTAGGAGCTTCATGCAAAATAAAAAAATTTGAAAAGATTTCTGCGAGATAAAAAAAGTTTTCTGCCGTTGAAAAGATCATTACCATCTCCAACCGCCGACCACCCAGCATTACAATACCTCTTCGACCAAACCCCGAGCTAGCGTTGAGCAAGACGTATCTTGCGATTGGTGATATCATTCAGCTCTCCTTAAACCACAGTAGTGCAAACTCATTTCAAACATGGCTCTGACTACCAAATCCTCTAATCTTCATCAGACATCTCTATGCTCTAATAATATCCCTCGTCAGATTTCCCCAGCTTGGATCGCCAAGAGAGTAGGGCTCATTGTAGGTGGCAAGATCTGGACTATGATCGTCAAATGCAGATAGGGCAAAAAGAAAAAAGCCGTATCAATCTATGATCAACATCATAATCTTGGTCTCAAACAACTGAGTATAGATATCACAAATCGTACGGTAACAAACTTCGGAGTATTGTGTGGTCTAGAGCTGACAGCAAATGCAATTATATACCTACTAATGCGTTATTCCTCTGCTTCCTCATTATTGTTAGCTATCTATATCTTACTTGCTATGCATGCTCGATTGTCTTTTAATCCGCTATTAGAATACTTATCAAGGGATCTCTTTTCCATTCCCTGATCCAGTATAGCCTAGGATCACGTTTTGATATGTTTCCAAGCCATTTGATTAACATGGTTAAAAGCAGAGGATGCTATATGAGGTACAGAGATGGCTGACTTAACCAAGAACTGGATTAAATAAATACCCTTGCATTTTCTTCGCTATACAAGTATGCCATCATTCACATCAAAGCGAGTAATTCTCTCATGAATACCCCTACTTGCAAATAACACGCAGTTTCCTCGTCAAAGACGTGGTCACTGCGATAGACTCCTCATCCACAGGATCAGCATAGAAGCGCCGACACATATCCAAGTCAATATTGCGCGCATCAGCCCAAAGTGGACAGCGATACCAAACCTGAGCACAAACCCAGATGATAGCAACAGCAATTACACTAATGTAATTAGCGAAGAAATTCTTCGCAGACGTCTTCTCGTGAAGCGGCCAAATGCTCAAGTAAAACTGAATCCCAAAGACAACAAGACACCAAATTAAGCCCCACCATGCGGCATACGGGTAAGCCCACGATCTCCACGGAAGGTGCGCCTCGTTACGGCCTTGTAACGTCCAGGTATATCTAAACCGTAGGTGGGAAAGACATATCATAGACCATCCAAATAGTGTAAGCAGGGAGACTAGATTGGAAAGCCATGTAAAAACTTGTGCTCCAGTATGTGTCACGTTGAGGTAGGCGAGAGCACCTCCAATCCCGATGGTGGCAATATAGCCAGCCCATGGCCGACCTACACTGTCTGCTTTACCGAATACCTGGAGACCATCCTGTGTGAACATAAAAGCTCGATAACTGTGAGGAATAAATGTGCATACCTTGTGATTCATATTGACGTGTGCCAGCCCCATCAGGATTCGAGAGCCACCATACCCCGATATACTACCAGTGGATATTACGGAAATAAAAATCACAGCATTCGTGATATGGGCTAGTATCGGTATCCCGGCATTTTTGAAAGCAATAACGAACGGCGAGGCGTTACTCCCGGATCCACCGAATAAACTAGGATCATTCGGGTCCACAGTTAACGTAATCATAAGGCTTCCAAGGATATAGAAAAGGCCGAGACGGAACCAGACGGATTTGATAGCTTTCGGTACCGATTTCCGCGGGTTAGCAACTTCAGTAGCCACCAACGCAGCATTCTCTGAGCCAGCCATTGCAAATATACTGGTCGGAATGACGCTGATAAAGCCCTTGAACCCGTTGTTAACAGGCTGCGCATTCCAATAACGAAATCCAACCGGGCCTCCCTGGGGCGAGCCTCCAGCAGTAACGACTGCCATCAATTAGTACTACCGATGAAATGGCAGTGATAGGGAATTACCAATTAATGCAATGATACAAACGAACATCCAGCCAAATTTGATGGTTGATGCAACTACCTCCACCTCTGCGAAGAATCTCACAGCCAAGATGTTGATCAGGATGATAACAACCCAAAAAATGGATATCCAGACGGCCTTTGGCACCTCGTCTGTCCAATAGTTGAGAACAGTTACAACGCCCTGGCGACAAAGGTAAAGGTATTAGTACTATAACGGCATGTCAAAGAGCCTGCTGTTGGAAAACAAGACGGACCTGAAGTTCATTCGCAATTGTGATCCAGTAGGAAAACCAATATCCCCACCCTAGAGCGAAACCAGCAGCTGGGCTGATGAAGATTGTAGCCCATTGCACAAATGCCGAAGGAAGAGGATATATAACCGCCATTTCACCAATAGACTGACAGACAGACCAGATAATTGAGCTGCTTATAAGGAATCCAATGAAAAGACTGGCGGGGCCCCCGTTGGTCAAGGACGTGCCACTTCCTAGCCACATCCCCATACCAATTGCTGACCCGAGGGCAACCATAGTCAAATGACGGGTGCCCAGGGTGCGATGGAGTTGGGTATCTGCTCCATGATCAACCGACTCCCCTTGTGCCTTGTCTGCCGCATTCTCCATATTTATGTCCAAGTCCTCTCTAATGGGACTCACTGCTCCGATTGTATTATAGTGTATAGGTTTATCAGGAACAGGAGGCTCATGGCTTTTGAGTTCCACTGGATTTGGTTCCATATTGGGGGTGGACGGCATCAAATAAAGAGGGCCTTTTGATAAAGACAATTAGATACAAAAAAAAAGGTATACAACCAACAAAGATGGGTTGCATGAGATGTGCTAAGAAGACATCCATGGACAGAGCAGTGCTTTTATATCCAGCCTAGGTTCACTTTGATAGCCGCGCTACAGTTGACTAAATCATTAATCTCCTTGACATAACCATAAAGATAAGCCCTGATGATAGAAAGAATAGGGAGTGAACCCAGCCTGCCCTGGATTGGCCTTGGAAATTGGATAGCTCTCCGCAAATGCGGGGGATCAGCTCATTTAGCAGCAGCACTACCAGATAAGACATATTGTGAAAAGCAAACGCCGTTTGAAATAGGGTTCCTTGGCTTTATCACCCGTCCGTGCTGTGTGCTAAGGATCTCCTATCTCGATTATCTCGGTAATTGAGGTAGTGCTACTCGGCCACCAGTCATACACATCGTTTCCCCTAGATTTGAAGACTATTCCCGAAGTTCTCAGAAAGGATATCCTAATGCAGGAAGATCATTTCTTCTATTGTATCATACATACGGAGTTGGCCGGGGTGGCCAGAGGTTGATGGTAATCTGGGAGTGCGTTCTTATATTTGGCTAAATTGGAAAAAGCAAACTATTTACCAATTCGTCCTTAGCCTGCTCCGTATATCATCATTGGGCACGGAATAATATGAACTATTCAACAGAATAATTAGTTCAGGAATGTGAGCAAAAATACGCTACCGGTCTTACACCACCCCTCATTGAATAGCACGGACTATGCGTGCCATTGCCTCCATCAGCCAAGGAACTGGGTGCGCAAACACTAGACGAAACCAGCCCGGGTTCTCTGATCCATACGCAGTCCCATGAGCCACGTAGACCTTGTTATCCAGTAGCTTCTGAAAGATTCTATCAGTGAGATCGGTTCCCCGGCCCTGCTCCTCAGGATGGGCCGCTAAATACTTCGCGCCGAGGTTGACCCATAAAAAGAATCCAGCATTACAGCCACGTAAATATTCAATTTTGTGCTTGTTGAGGGCTTGAACGAGGAATTGGTGAGATACAGAAAGCCTCTCGCGATTTATCTCGATGTATTTATCAGTAAACTGGTCGTCTGAAAGAATACATGCGGTGATCTGATCTGACATCCCAGAGACGAAGGAGTACAAGGACAGACACTTCTGAGCAATATGAAGCTCGGGGTTAGATTGCGAGACGATTGCACCGACTCGCAGGCCGTTCGCACCAAAGTCCTTGCTCATGCCCCAGAGAACGTGCACAAGAGCGGGGTCGATGAGCCTAGTTATGTCTCTCGACAGTAATGATTCGAACGGTGTGAAAGAAACATCTTTATCCACTCGATTCTCCCACACTGAGAGCGCGTAGATCTCATCACTGATCAAGTGCATCTTCCTCGACTGACAGAATTCCATGAACTTGTCAACAGTCTCCCGCGGGTAGCACTGCCCCAGGGGATTATGCGGGTTGCAGAGAATCACAGCTCGCACTCGCCTCCCGGTGGACGCCTCAAACTCTACTGCAGCCTTTTCATACAGATCAACTGTTTCGATGCTCAGGGGGTCCACATTTCCCATCTTCACCGGTATAACCACTGCCTCTGGTCGTAGTGAGATGTCCGCGATGAAGGTGCTGTAGTACGGCATTCCGAGAAGAACGCCCTCGCCTGGGTTAACGAAGGCCCAGCTCAAGTGCTCAATTGCAGAAGAACATCCATTCGTTATCAGGACATGGCGAGGCTCTACTGGCCGGAAGGGATTGAAATGCCTGTTAAGGAAGTGCGATACCGCGTTTCGAAGCGCGTTGGACCCCATACTTCCGTTATTGTAGGTGAGGTGCTCGGCGGACAGACGGAAGTTGGCTTCAATATACTGGAGTAGTGTATTGTGTAGCAGCGTGTTTTCTGCCATCCCGATGGACAAGATTCCGGACGGATTGGTATTAGGATTCCACATGTCACTGATCACATCCCAGGTTATTCGCTTGGAACCCAGTTCAACGGCATTCTGGCCGCGTTTGGAAAAGATTTCAAGGGGTTGGGCATCGGAATACCCGGTTGATCCCATGGCGTAATAACAGAGTTGCCGATAAAAATGAAAGTGAAATATGTTCAAACCAGTATGTATGCCGACACTTTCCGGCACGGGATGTGGTTGTCTTTTATAGAGATACTTGACCCGATATCGGATATGGTGCTCCAGAAATATTAATCTCCTTTCACTCTAAACATGATATCCGAGGTCATATCAAAATGAAGTCTATATCTCCCCGCAATAACAAGGGTAGGCACTCTTGGCAGATCGGCGGTTTTTATATATCGCCAGAACATTCGGCGTTTGATACACATCTCCGATTTGCTACTAATACTGGAAGCATCACCCTGATCGTCCTCTCGACTACCTCAAGGATTGATTAAAGCTCATGCCCCGTATTATTCCCGATTGCGGTGCTCGATTTATGTCTCTTGGGCTTGCTTCTGACAGACTCATAGGTAACAGTGCAGCTCAAAGCAGCTAGATAAGGTATCATAATGCACAAATGCTTCAAGTTTAGTTGATTGAAAAGTGGAAGGATAATATATTTAGTGATTGAGAGGAGTTGGATTTGTAAGAGCGAGAGGGAATTCTACAATGGGAGGATTACGCATGGACTTAACAGGGAAGGCCGATAGGATAGTAAGTAACAAATTTACTGCATATGTATACTGATTGGCATATGGCTATAAAGCAATATACTATGAGGCTTCACGGGAAATCACAATTTACAAATCTTGATTGATTATTGTAATTATAAAATAGATGCCAATAGTCTAGCAGCACTTCCCCTTCGAGCAGCCATTGAGAACCTGCGGTGTCTCAGCCGTATCCAAGCGACAAAAGCATGACGCTTTGATCGGAACATCAGCTGCAGCAAGGGCCAGTTTAGCTGGCTGCTCGATCATAGCTGCTTCATCCATCCTCCCTAGGCGAACAAGGCACTCGTAATATCCCTGCAGTGACCATACATTATTTGGGTGCCGACGCGGTCGGATGATGGAGTGATCCAGGCCCAGGTCGGCACGATACGTTTGTGCTGCTTCTTCCAGACGACCCTGCTCCATTAGAAGGGCAGCATACGCATGGCGAACAGGTTGCATCCACGACCACGGCTCGCTATATGGTAGTTTGTCTTCAAGCTCAATCGCTTCGCGGAGGGACGCAAAGGCCTTGTCGTAGTTTGCACAACGGTATTCAATTTCTCCTTCTAGCATGGCAGAAGCCACACCAAGTACGTCAACGATCTTTCCGTTGTAGGCACGGCGAGTCGCTGGCACGCGAGCCCATGCTTGATGAAAGCGCTCTTGTTCCTCTCGGGCGGTGGCAACATCACCTGTAGCAGCGAATGCAATACCTTTAGCATAGTGCGTGGTGGCCGTTACGCCTGCATAAAGCTCCTGATCATGCGGCAGCTCTTTGCACTTAAGCTCCTCCCACATACCAAAGCGAACCATCACATGTAGGCGAATAGACATGAACTGTTCTAACCAGTCGGCCATGGGTGGAGACTGAATTCGAAGAACTTCCTCCGGCACTGTTGCTTCCATGCGAGTGACGGCATCAAGGGCGGTCTTACGTCTGCCGGCAAACATAGCAGCGTAGACCAAAGAATGATAGTCATGCAGGCGGTAGAACGTGTAAAAGTTCTTGGCTCCTGACTTGTGGAAATATTTATCATCTGCAAGGGTTGAATTGTGGTTCGACGCTATGGACCGTCGCCAGTCGCCAATGAGGATATCCAAATGTGTGGGCATATGGTGGATATGACCAGCGTCGGGCACGAGGTCTCGCAGATGATCGGCCACGTTAATACCCAACTCCGGGGTTGGCGACATTTCAATGAAATGAATATAGAGATGGAGCAGTCCGGGGTTCAAATATGGTCCATCCTCTTCCTGTGCAAGAGCTCGTTCGAGAACCGCCTTCACCTCCATTGTGGGCGCATTAGGGTTTGGTTTCCCAGTGAAAAGGTCCCATAGTGACCACGGAGTCATATTCATCAGCGCGTCGGCATAGAGGGTGGCAATATTCAGATCACGCCCGAAAATATCGTAAACTAGCTTCATAGCGGCGGCATACCCTTTGTTGAGGGCTGCGTAATCCGTCGCAGGTTGATCGGTGGGAAACCGGGATTGGATGGCCTCGATCAAAGCTCGCTCCAGGGGAGTCGCATTGACGGCGTATTTGGCTGCCTCTCGCGATGCCTCGTACCCTCGTTGCACCGATCTGTGGAGGTCTCCTAGGTCGAACTTCTCCCACGGTTTGTTGTAGTTTGGACCGACCGCATAGGCGAGACCCCAGTATGCCATCGCACAGGCAGGATCGTGCGCAATGGCTTGCTCAAAACAGTAAGCGCCTTCAACGTGATTGAATGAGTATACCCAGGTCAGGCCGCGGTTGAACCAGATCTGGGCATCGCCGCTGCTGGTGGTGATGCTATGGCCAAACGAGCCAAGATCATAGTATTCGTCGCCCGCTGGAACGGGTGAGACGACTTGTCGAGTCATGGTGGACGTTGGCGAACGCGGAGTATGAGAGACAGATATTCTGTGAGATCAGGAGGAAAAGTCACCGGATGGAAGGCCAGCATGAGCTCTATGGTCTGCATTATATATAGTTCTATATCTAGGCCTTATCAGTCAAGGCAAGTGGCAAGTGGGGATGCGGAGAGAACTGGCGCTTCAAACACCGGAGACGCCGGAGCTCCTCTCCCCAGCTAATCTTTTAATCACTGGGGTCTAACTGCCTCCTGTGGTATAATCACCACATATTATGAGTGAGCATTGACTCATACGAGAGGAAATTAGTGGAAACGGAATTA